CGTCATTAATTTGTGATCAAACATACTTCAACAGAATTTCCTTTGCTTTTTAGCTTTTTAATTGTTGAAGGTAGCGTGTATAAATTATTTGTAGTGACAATAAATGGTTTGAAAACATTAGTGAAACAACGATTCAGAATAGAAAATGTAAAGCAATCTACCGCATGAGAACATGTGAAATTGGTTTAATTTTTTCTGAAGGACTGTATAATTGAAAACTGAAGAGAAGAATAATGCATTAAAGGCCGTAATCGTATTTCAGTTTTCATTTTTGCTTTTTTCTTTTTATTACATCTCATTTTTTCATCATTTTATCTTCTCTTTTTCACGAATTATTTCAACAAATTAAATAGAACATTTTTGATAAGATCAATTGTGCAATTACAGATTATATTATTAGAAGACAATACTTTTATTCTTTTAATTTAAAATAAACTAAATAATAAAAAACTATTTTTCCATTCGTGAAATTAGATCATGCAAATTCCATAGCTAGTCTATATATAAAATATTTTACGCGTGAAAGAGACTATTCGGAATTGATCATAAACTTGGTTTTCATATAATTGAGGAGCAACGCCAACGCGTTCACGATTCTCACAATTTTTCCATTACAAGGAGATCCACAGTTATTCCTATAAATATTCGGAAATTAAATTTTCGACTGAGAAGATTGAGAAATTATTAATAATTAAACTGTTATACCAAAATGTGAAAAAAAAACGTACAACAACTCATTTAGTCTTTTGCAGTCCTGGATTCATTTTTTTTCAAATATAATACAAGTTTATAACATTTATAAAAACATTAGAAAAATTTAAATTATATAATTATAAACAAAATATTATTGATTAATATTTATAATATTAATAATTAATTATAAATATAATAATAGGTATTATATTTTAATATGCATTATATTAATCAATTATGTAAATAATTAACATAATTAATTAATAATTGTATTTACAAATATCGATATTAAAATATTATTATTTACTGAAATTATTATAGATTACAGGCTGAAGTCTTGTCTTTAGAATGAATTTTGAATATTAAATTCGTGCAACAAAGGAAATCCAACAATTTCGTTGGATAAATTTAATATTCAAGAAACTTCAACGTTTCGTTGATTAAATTTAATATTCAAAGTTCAATAAACCAACGATGAAAAATTGTACATCAAGTTTTAAGAGATCGTTGTAAATGAAAGACTTCAGTCGTGGTAGACTCAACCATGAAAAAACTTTTTAATATATTTAGAAATGCTTGAATTTATAATATTTTCGAGAAAAAAAGTCTTCACTCTTCCACTCTTCACGTGATTAAAAGACGTGGTTAAAGTCTTTGAAAAAACGAATCCAGAATTGTGGAAGTGGAGCTTATTATGGCAGTTAATTAAACGGAGCAAATGGATTTTCAATTCTCGTTTAACAGTTGACGTTTGCATTTACCAATTTATACCAAATTTGTATGAAATGAAAATGAAATTTCCCTTGCATCATTGGAGACATTGGAAAATTATATAAATCTTCAAATGATAATATCAATATATAATACAATTGTTAATTTAAAATTAAAATACTGTAACGGTTCCAATGGTCCATTTCACGTTCACAGACTAATCAATGTAAGTTATTTTCCATTAAAAATGACGTTTACAAACACTTTTTATTGCTGAAACCTTCAGTCGATGGAACAGTTTAATTATAATATTACAATGGTTATATTATATTATGTTATATTATTATATTATCATTTTATTATCATTATATTATAACAATTCCATCATATATATTATCATTTTATTATCATTATATTATAACAATTCCATCAATCGAAGATGATTGATAATAAATAAATTTGCATAGTACAAATTGTTTTTAATGAAAAGTGCTTTACACTGATTGGCTTCTGACACCTCCAAATATTAATAATTTCCCAAAAATCGAATAATTTAATGCTTCCCCGAATATTTATGGAAGTAATTATAAGTAATAATATTAGATTGTGGCGATCAGTTATATCCAATAGTAATAACAATACCGATGACAATAAATTGGTTGACATTTCGATAAATGAATGGCGTTATATAAGCATTCCTTTGTTACCTTTGGTTCGAAACTGCGTAGCATACCATTAAATACTATACCAGTATACTCTACATAACATTCAAACATGAGCACTGTTTGGTAATTACTTGGAACAGAGGCGACTTGACCGATTTCAACATACGATATTGAATTTTACAGAGGGCATAATTCTAAACAACTTTTCGCTGTACATGTTACCGTCTAAAAATATAGAGACATAGGCAAAAATATTTTTAATTCTGTGTGTCTATATCTCAGTAAATAGTTTTTCGGTGTATGTAAGTATTTTTAATTCTTAATAATATATATTGGTTTTTTGGAGATTAAATTAACCCATTTGTACCACGCTTAAATTTAACGATGGGTTCGTATCGTTGAAATTATGATTATATATAATTTATCAAATCATTTACAGTTATTAAAGCGCGTTTTATACAGAATGCATAAAAAGATAGGTAAATATTTAAATATAGTGCCTTCTATGATATTTAAAACAAAACAATATCTATTTTCTTGGCTACATTCTCAAAAATATGAATTCACATATTTATTGCAATTTATTCTTCCATGAATTACTTTATGGCTAATGAAAGAATCTATTTTTTTTTTTTTTTCGTAATTATTATAGATATCTACGAATTCGTTTAACTTCATTCGTTTACTAACATTGCTAATCTAATTTATTTCTTTTCTTTTTTAACGTGGAGGAAATCTTCATTGACACTCCATTCTCGAGGGAGGAAGCCGGCTAAAAAAATTCCATCATGGCCTACCATCGATGCATTGGCTCCAGGATCCTCAAGAGCTGCATTCGATGCTTCTCTGCGCCTACGTTTCAAGGTTCGAGTCACGTCTGCCGGGGGAAAGATGTTGAACCCCTCCCCCCCCCCCCCCCCCCCCCCGCCATCTTTATTTTCTCTAGTGACAGCAAGGACTACACCTGGTGTTACCCAATCGAACTCAAACTTAATTCAAGCCGGCAACACTTTTTGTCTTGTTAAAGTAATTCACAAGATTAAAGAATTCTTAATGAAATTGCCGGAGAGATCGAAACGTCACTTACTGAAGTGTAAACAACGTTGAATACAACGTTATAAACTTAAAAATCGTTAAAATCGGTGAAGTTTACTCTTTAACATCTTGCGCTGGAATGACGTGCCACGCACTCCGAGAATAAACCTCAGGAAAGCAATGTTGACTGATAATTAGACAATGCATTTTCGTTGTGTTTCGATTGAAAATTGCGCGGTTAGGTGAGGAGTTTCTTGTACTTCGATTGTAAAAGGTGTGTTTAGGTTAGGAATTTCTTTGGAATTACTTTGATTGTAAAAGGAGTGTTTTAATTGAAAAGTGCAGGTTTAAGTTGGGAATTTCACGAAATAGAGATTTCGAGACTAGGTTTATGCTATAGATTATGTGCATGACCTAGGCTATTTTTGAAATTGTACAAAAACCAGTGAACAATGTGCCATGATTCTTAACCTCTTGCGCTGGAATGACGTGCCACGCACGTCGAGAATATTCGGCCCAAAATTGCAATATTTTCTTAGCTTTAAGTATATTGAAATATAACCCAGGCAAAGCAAATAATAAATTTATTACTTCTTAGTAATTTCTATCCGGTGATATACCGATGAATTCAAAAAGAAGACGAATATTATTGTATACGATTTGGTCACTCGTTATGGTCCGTGAACCAAAGGCAAACTGTTGGAGGTACGCAATTTAAAAAAAAAAAAAAACTCTAGCTGCACGGAATGTTTTTTAATGTAAAGAAAGAAAAAAAAACCGTTTATTTCAATTATTAAACATAAAATATTTCTTAAAATGAAAACAAGTAATATTTAAATAAATTTTTTATTACAGAATGGAGGCATAAATAACCCCACCATGCAACTTAACGTTTTAACCACTTGCGCTGGCAACTGATTGCGGACCATAATGAGTGACCAAACCGTATACAATATTCGTCGCTTTCTTTTTGAACTCGTAGGTATGATATCACTGGATAGAAATTATTGAGAAGTAATTTATCATTTGTTTCGCCTGGGTTATACTTAAACATACTTAAACCTGAGAAAATATTGCAATTTTGGGACAAAAAATTCTCGACGTGCGTAGCAAGAGGTTAAATGAAATTCATTGAAACACATCTTTAGGTGGGTTAAAAAATATATCCATGTATTAACTGTCAAAAAAAAAGTGAGACAATTTTAAACCCTCCTAACTCCAAAGAGTTAAGAGATATGAAATATGTTTTTATAAATATTGGAGAAATTAAGGCCGAACGGCGGTAATGTATAGAGAAAAATTGCTCAGAATTATGCCCATTGGTAACATATTCCAAGGTCAACAAATATTTCTTCAGAGGTCAGTGTAAAATAGAAGAGAAGAATTTGTGGAAGAAGCGTATTATAAACTTTAAACGGCGTTCTCTTCCTTATTAATTTAATTGTAAAGGCCATTCAAATTATAAAAATTTGGTAGTAAATGTTATACTAATATGTAGGTAGTAAATTATAAAAATTTGGTAATTTTGGTAATAAATTATAAAATTATTTTATAATTATTTTATATAAAATTATTATATATAGAATTATTTTATAATTATAAAATTTGTGTATAGGTAGTAAATTATAAAAATTTATATATAGATAGTAAATTATAAAAATTTGTGTATAAGTAGTAAATTATAAAAATTTATATACAGATAGTAAATTATAAAAATTTATATATAGGTAGTAAATTATAAAAATTTGTGTGTAGGTAGTAAATTATAAAAATTTATATATATATAGTAAATTATAAAAATTTGTATATAGGTAAATTATAAACATTTGTATATAGGTAGTAAACTATAAAAATTTGCATATAGGTGGTAAATTATAAAAATTTGGTGTTACTTACCGATCAAACTTTCGTTTCGATCCTTTATGCTCATCCCATTCGAATCTAGGATTTCCACTTGCTCTCTCATTTCCGTCGTGATATATACAGGTATACAGAGCACGGGACAGAAAACGTACGCGATCAAAATGGCAAGGATAGTTCTTCTGTAGCTGCACCATTCTCTGTTTTGCTGTGGCCTTGCTACCGCCACGTATCTCCACACTGCCAGTATTAATGTTAAACATATCGAAATGGTATGACAAACCTGTGGACAGTAAATTAGAAATCCGTGAGCTCTCCTCCTTTCTGTGATACCGATATTTTTCAATTACGAATTACAGGCAGAGTTGGGCATTAATCGATGAAAATTTTTTGTTTCATCGACCGGTTAACGTGTACGATTAATAAAATTAATCGTCAAAAAATCGGCTTCATTTATCATTGAAAAATCGGCGATTGATTTAATCGATAAATAAAATTAATCACCGATTGTTCATCAAAGGAAATTAATCGTTGAAAAATCGGCAATCGATTTAATCGATTGATAGTATTAATCGTCGGTTATCAATTGTTAGTTAATACATCGAATTTGATTTATTATAATATATTATATTGTAATAAATATAAATATAATATATAATTTATTATAATATATTATAATTATAATATAATTTCATTTAAATTGAAGATATATTTTGGAATAGTAATGAATAAATCGATCCTTTAGGATTGAGATATTTAATGAAACATATTTTTACTTTATTACTGTCGAGAAGTATAGAGCGACCCATATGTCTAGCTGCAAGCCTAATTAACTTGTTTTGAACTCTTTCCAAATTTCTTAAACGAACAAGCAATAATAAAAAGAACTTTATTTCGTTGCATTAGACATAAATATCATTTAAATTATTGCAAGGTGTTTTGATCTTTGACCGCGAACAAGAAAAGACACAGAAAACGTTAATTTCGCTAAAAAAAAAAAAAGTATTTCAGCGATCAATCGTTAATGAGGTATTAGTAACAATTAACGATTCGATCAATTTAATCCTCAATCGCAGTGAACGATTAAAAGGTATTTGAACGTTCGTCGCAACAAACGATTAAAGCAGAAATCTATTTATGATTAACAACTAGAGTTGGAATATAATCATTAACAACGACTAAGAACTCTTGAAAAAGTTTCATATTAATTTAAATTAATCGTTGATTAATTTACTCCATTAACTTACGTAGAAGAAAAACAATGATCTAACATTCTAATATTCGTTACCTAACCAAATTCCATTGGGATTCTGTTATATCTTTCTTTCTTTCTTTCTTCACTCAAATTTTAGCGAAACGTCGCAACAGTAGCTTCAACCACCCTTTATGCTACCGGCATCTGGGGCTTACCATACGCAGAGCAACTAAATAAAATTCAGACCAACTACAAACGACTACTGAGCCTCCCTAGATGTACGTCAGGATATACGATTAGAATAGAAACTGGCACCAGCAAAATCAACATCGAGATAGTCAAAAGAGCGATAAGCTATTGGATTAGAATCCCAGGCATGGAGGCCGATCGCTATCCGCGGATATTTTACTCTAAACTGCTGGAGGCAGACGGGAGGCTACCATAAATATAACTGGGTGATCCTACTGAGGGGGACAACAAACGAATTGGGGAACAGCAGAATCCTAGAACAATTCGGGACAGCATACCTCTAATTGAGACTTATTTTACCAACAGAACCTTCCTGGAGGATTGTCGCAGAGTTGGAAATTCAACCTACAACCCATTATATAGGGAAATTGACAATCTAGAGACTCGGGAACTCGAAAAATACCCAACCACGTCGCTACCTATGACCATCATAAAAGTAATCGTCCAACTAAGAAATAAACTGCGGATTCAAAGGGTTCTGGTACAGGATCACGGAAAATGTAACCTGCACAGTCTGCAATCTACAAATGAATCACTTCAACATCTCTTATATGAATGTCTCCAATATTTGAGCATTAGGCACCACTACCTTGAGAGTGCTCCTTTCCCTGTCAATTCTAGTCATTTCTAATGCGGAAGAAGCAAAAAAAAAAAAAAAAATTATACTATATATTGTACTCTTTACTAAAATTACGTTCATTTCTAATCTGCGAGTGAGCAAAACAATCCTGGTTGCGGACTCTAGTGACCCAGCCCCACTCACAAATTTAAACTAGAGACCAAAGATCACCACCGTGCAATTACACATTAGATGTCTGGCATGTATTGTGAGTCATATGTATGGAGTTTGGCCGTGAAAAATCTCACGGCCACTTGTAATAGGGTATATTCCTGTAAATAAATAAATAAAATGAAAACTTTTAGCGAAACGTAACAGATCTTCGTTTAGCTCAATATTTGTACGGTAACTGTTTCCATTAGAAAAATAAAAAAGTGCTTTGAAGAAGACACAACTGGCGTGAAATAAAGTCGAGCTGAATTGAGCCGTAATTAATCTTTAATTAAAGAAGAAGGCAGACATATATATTAGATCGATTGGTTTCCGAACATATAGGTCGCCGTTCCTATCAAACAAAGCGGAGGAACGACAATCGACGAAGAATGCGACCGAACCATAAATACCAAACGATTTTATTAGGTCATCGGTAACAATAACATTTCTTGCTATCGCGTTTGATCGCGTTTGATCGCGTATCGTCTAAATTAAATTTTAATTCGACGAGCCTACGCACAACGCGAACGTAACTTGAACGTAACTTCAGTTATTAATAATCATTCCAGTTTCGTTCGACTGTAATACAAACTTCGTGAGCACAAGTGTAATTGAAAAACTTCCTTCCTTCCTTTTCCGCCCCCGCGTCAGTGGTAATCAAATTCCGAAACAGGAGCAACACCTCTTACGTAAATCGAACCTGACATTCCCTGACTGAATCGTGCTCGTTCATTCGTTACCTGCGCGAAATTCGAATGAAACAGGACGAAAATGGTCCATCCGTAACTGAAGGTGTCCCTCCTCGATCGCTGATACAGGTAAAGATGGATCACGTACGGTATGTAATCGATCATCACGAGCAAATCTGCTATAGCCAGCCCGGTTAAAATGATGTTGGTCGGCGATCGCATTTCACGGCGTGTCAGAACGAGAATGTTCAAAACGTTGGCGACCGAGCCGAAGATACAAACGAACAGAGAGATCCATCCGTGCAGCTGCGAGTAATACGAGTGAAACGACGATAAATCGCAGACGTAGTTGTCCGACGATGCGTTAAAATCCATGATTATTTCAATTACTGGCCCGCCTTTATCAAAGGCTCCTCCGTTTGCTGTTCTATTAAATTTATTAAAGTAAATTGTCGAGGTGAAAATTGTCTTCGATGATCTTAGATACTCGACCGTTCTTTGCGAACGAGTCTGGCTCTTCTTTTGTTTCGAGAGGCGGGACTTCGCAGGAAAAGGTTCCTTCAATATTTCGATGTCGACTCGATGTGTATTTCCGTTTCATAAATTCAATGGTAATTTATTATCGTCTGGTAATCGAAAGATAGAGAACGAGAAGAGGGGGGAAAAAATATACGTTTCGTTGTTCCCGTTCGACTGAGAAGAAACACATGTGTCTCGAACGTTTCTGGTATGTCGGGTACTTTTTACTCCGTTTTATTGTTCACCAAATCGTTATCAATCTTTATTTTTTAGGACGGCATCGGAAATCATTCAAACAGTCGCACTGTTTTGCTTAATTCTCGGAGGGAAAGCTCCATCGACTTTTGTTTTCGTGTTTTAAAAGGATTTCCTTTTAAAGCCTCCTTCTTCTAACGCTTTAAACTCTCCCAGGGAAATGGCCCTTTATCCGTAACGATGTGCCTCGAGTCGCAGTTTTTCCCTCCTGTTACTCGATTGTATCAAGAGAACGTTCGCTTTCAATTCCCCCGCAGAAATCGAACAACATTATTATCCCTCTTGTCTTTCGTCTCGATCGAGCCGAAGAAAAAAAAAACTGTTTACATTTCGATTAGATTGCCGTTTCTTCACTCGAGCACAATTTACAGTCTCGACTTGAAGAGACACTGAGACGTTCCTTTTCTTTCGTACGATCATCCAACGTGCATCGATTTATCGTTTTTTTTTTATCAATTGTTTAACGTCAAAGCGCGAACGACTGAAACACCACGGTTCGATATTCGATAAATGAATTTTAAATTCGATTGGCTTCGCTCTTTTTTTCAAACGTTGCGCGACGTCGTTTCGAACGATCGAAGTTTAAAAATCCTCGGACGGACGTCGCGCACTACGAGGCGCAACAAGCGCAGAACAAACGGGGAACCGAGCAACAAACGCGGCGAGAAACGTCGGTACGGGGCGACGTCGGCCAAGCTAATGTCGCCGCGACGCTATCCATGTTGCAGCCGCCCCGAAATTCTAACGCAGACGCAGATCATTCCCATGTCTCTCTCTCTCCCTCTTTTCCCGCTTCCTTCCACCTTTTGATCTTGCCGCTTTCTCTTCCGCCCTTACGTATTCTCACGCTTCTATTTATCACGCGATACGCACTGCTTAATATGTAATTCCTTCCTGCGAGCGCGCATGTCTCTTAATTTATTTTCCATCGATCACGCGATCGTCTTTCGCGAGCGTGCACGCCGGGCGTCGTTCGGGAATTTTCAGCAACAAGTAACAATCGGGACGGGCCGGTATACAAGTCTTGGATTTTATTAGATTTCCCCGAATACGAACGAAGTTTAACTACATTGTTGTGCACGTTTGGCCAGCTTGTCGATATCACTCGGCTCGCGTTCGTTTCTCTTCTCTTGATCGCAGGAACTTTCAGTTGCGTGACCTTAAAGTTTAACTTAATTGTTCGGTTCTCTCTTTCTCTCTCTCTCTGATAGAAAGCGACAGGGCAATTTTCTCGTAGGAAGTTAATTTCTAGATCATTTCCCAAGTAATGTTGATTCTTGCTTTGGTCCAGCGAGACAATACGTGTAACGAGGATCGTCTAGCAAATAATACCTACTTTCAATTCGTCTAGCAAATAATACCTCTTTACAATTTCAAAAATTTATTACAGAGGCAAATGAAAAGACAGATAAGTGGAAATTATTACAAAATGGGACGTGTATGTTTAAATTTGTTTTTTTTTTTCTCGTTTAATACACTTCTATATGAGCAACATTATTTGCACGAAGCACAACATCAAGATGCTACTCGATTTCGTACACGATCAATGTTTTCCTCAGATATTCTTCGTCGTCCACTCCTCCCTTCATCGAACACTGTCCCTGCCTCCATAAGTTTCTTGTGCCATACACGAATTGATGAACGTGACGGTGGATCTCTTCCATATTTAGATCTGAAGTTTCGCTAAGTCTGCAGATCCAATTTAGTTTTAATAAACATGACACACTGTGCCTTCTCTTGAGGAGCAGCCATTTTGTAAGGGGTTCATTTAACAGTATCTTATTCATCAACAGGGTACCTGAAATGGAATGTGATAGAAAAACCTTGATAACCACTGAGTATACAGAACAAATCCGATAAAGATATCTTATCAATTGCCTTTGTAATAAATTTTTGAAATTGTAAGGAGACTTTATGGACACCCGTATGGTGTGTGGTATGTTAAAAATATGTATCGAACAAAAGTACGGGACATTACTAATCTAATAGAGGTGTATTAAATAAGGCAGAGAAAACTTATATATATACGTCTCATTTTGAATTAATTTTCACTTATCTATCTTTTCATTTGCCTTTGTAATAAATTTTTGAAATTGTGAAGGGACTTTATGGACACCCTGTATTTTAAGAAGTTTTTTTATAACTTTATTTTAGTTTTTTAGTTTAATAATATATATATATATATAATTTATAATTAAATATATAATGTGTATATAGTTTTTAATATACATAATATATTATTATATTTAATATTATAATTATATAATAAATTATAAATTATAATATATAGTTTTATAAAATATATATTTTTTAATATACAGGATGTCATACAAACAATAAATCGTAAATGTAGAATAAAATTTTTTCATTCAAAACTTCATTATCGAGAAGATATCTCTGGAAAATTTATATTCAACTATATTGAGCTAATTCTAGATATATCAGAAATGAATGGTTAGTAGGGAGTTATTCTTCGTACAAAAACAGGTCAAAAGTGTGAAATAAAATTTTTTTTATTCGAAGCTTCATTTTCATGAAAATAGACTTTGAATATGTTTTTCGTTAAAAATTGCCTTGGTATTTGATAAATTTTCAAAATCAGAAACGAAGCCTTTCGAGCGTAGATGAAAAAAATTTCATTTGAACTAAATATTTCATTACACTGAAAATTTCAATTTATTTTCCCACGACGAATCATCCCACACGCTATCCTGTATAAATTATACATAATAAATTATTATATATAATAAGCTAAATATATTATATTATTCATAAGCTAAACTATATTATATATTATATTATTCATAACTTTAATATACGCTAGAACTTCGATTATCGAAAACTTCCGTTGTCCGAACCTTTTATTGTCGTTTTCTGGACGTTCTCGAATCATCGAAATGTTCAGAATATTCGAACAACACGTTTCGCACTTTCCGCGTATGTACGTATGTAACACAGTGTACACAGGATGTTCACGGATTTATCAGCCAGCGTTTTCTCAAAAATCAGTAAATGTGAGAAAAAAATGGAAAAGTGGAAAAAGTAATACCGATTGTTGTTAGCAACGTAATAGCGTATGACATTTTTTTTGTATTCGCTTTTTTTTTAATTTTCAATTTTTTAAACGGAATGCTATCTTTATATATAAAAAGATAGCATTCCGTTTAAAAAAATTAAAAGTTATATATATATATATAGTTATATATAACTACATAACCATATATATATATATATATATATATATATATATATATATATATATAAAAGATAGCATTCCGTTAAAAAATTAAAAGTTATATATATATAGTTATATATATACATAACTATATAACTATATATATATATAACTTTTAATTAACTTTTAACTATATATATATAACTTTTTATTAACTTTTAACTATATACATATATAAAAGATAGCATTCCGTGTAAAAAAATTAAAAGTTATATATATATATATATATATAGTTTAAGGAGATATAAACAAATAATGATAAATAGTTATTCACTATTTTTAAATGATCTCATTTCAAAATGACGTCCTGTTTAATATTTTAACTTTAAATCCCGTTTTAAATTTCGAATATTATGAAACAGGCTCGTGCAAAGAAAAGGAATGACTGAAATACTGAAACTCAGTAAAATACTAAACATCTATTTTCGATTATATCTTCGTAACAAAGCGTTAATTCGGAAATTTCATATAACATTTTTATCTTCTTTTGGTCCCTAGAATAAGCTCTCGCAGTTTGGCTGGAAAATCCCGGGACACCCTGTATATATATCAGATGAAAACGTGTATCTAGACGGTATAGAAATATTTCATATCATTTTATTTTTATTAATTTATTTTTATCAACTTTGATCTCTTTATCTCAATCTTACTAATTTTACTAAGTTGTAAAATTATCGTTCTTCGAACTCTTGTAACTCATTTTAAAAGGCTGAAGCCTTCACGTTCAGAATCCATCTGCAACAAGACAATCAACTTTTTCTCGAAATTTTGATCTTGTATGTATCTCTGAAGGTCACATTATGACAGATGATTGAATTCCTCTTGAACGTTTTTGCATATGAAAGAAAATGTAGTGTTCTATTTAAAGAATTGAAGATAACCTTCATTTCTAAAAAAAATAGTGTAGATACAACAAAAACTTCACAGACCATTTTTGCTCATAAAAGAAACAGTACCACTTTTTACTTATTTATACACCTTGTATATTTTCTTCTACGAAAACTATCAAAACAAGATTTTTTCACAATGTTTTAATGTTATTAGTAGACTGCGGATTTTTCTTTTTTTTTACGCATTTATTGAAAATTTTGAAGTGCAAAAAATGCACACAATGCACATAATATAGAAAACCATACGTAAAAAAATAGAAAGAAGAATATTAATTATAATTCTTATAGAAGGAACAATTTTCTATTCAGATTCCATTTTGTTAATGATGTTTATGAGTTTAAAAGCATTCGTACACAAATCTTTAATTATTGTAATTATTGATTATTGGCCAATTTTTATAAAAGCTAAGTATGTATGTATTTGCAATATACTACAGAACAGATACCATAAGAAAAATATCAAATATTTGCGTAACTTGGGAAATTAACAAGAGAAATTCAAAAAT